CTTTGGCTGAGTGGACTATGTTGTTATGTACGATCTTTGGCTGAGTGGACTATGTTGTTATGTACGATCTTTGGCTGAGTGGACTATGTTGTTATGTACGATCTTTGGCTGAGTGAACTATTTTGTTATGTACGATCTTTGCGTTCACCGGAAAACCTGCCCACATACATACCGCACTTCGGATAAGCCACAATCATGACGTCATCGTCTCTCATTTGCATATTTCTGAGGGCCTCCACTTGAGCCACAGGATCGCTCTGGTTAGGGAAAGGAATCACGCGCCAGCCGTGAGCTCGCACACCGCTGTCTTGCATGATCTTGGGCGGACCAGCGGGGTTCTCCGGACCACCTTTCTTCTCTACGTCACCGTTTTCTGCTGCGCTCTTCGTGTCCGCCATTTTGGTTTTTTGGGGGGCTGGGGGGAAGTTTTTCGTTTTTGCAGCGATGTAAGTGGGTGTGGCTCTGATGTGTTGTTGCTGCTGCTTCTGATGATGTTGCTGTTCTTGTCGTACCACTGCAACCTTCATCAAATAAATGAAAGGAAAATAATTGTTGAGGTTCCAATGTTGCAGACCTTACTAAAAAAAAAAAAGCTATACAAATACTACTTACCTATACAATCTGTGCTATACAACCGCGGAACTCGGATTCAACGAAGACGTTGAGCCTGACTTTCAATTTCTTTGAATCCAAGCGGGTTAATGTGTGTGTTAGTTGAATCCGAGATATTTTTTCAAATTGATTTTTATGAAATAAAAAGCGGGGAACCCAACTCCTTTCGTTGATTCCGAGGATTTGGTTGAATCCGAGTTCCACTGTATGACAAGTCTTGAACAAACGATCACTTCTTATTGGGCGACCTCAGAATTACACAGCTCTATTTGCCCAGTACCTTGTAGTTTTGAGAAATTTGAACGTAATAATGTTTTGAGTTTCACAAAATGTCAATCTATAGATTCGTCGAAGTACTCCTGTTTCTAAACTGAAAAGAATTTCAAAAGTTTTGTCAACTGAACCTCCACTGGCTACACTCACAGAAGAAAGACGAGAGGATGCACGCTTGTCTATTGTGGGCTAGAAAAAGGATGCGCTGATGTCATGTTTGCCTACGTCTGTAAGATAAGATCAGATAATATACATCTTTATTTGCCAGATCCTGACACACTGGTTTGGTGTTTCACCACGTGTACACACACACACACACACACACACACACACACACACACACACACACACACAAACACACACACACACAGGCGCACACACGTATGTTTAAAGTCAGTCACATGCATATTAATATAATAGGAATGAACAGTAATATAAACAATAATAATAATGATAAGCATATTATACATACTCAGTATTCCGATTGTAACTCAATGTTATTCTGATGCATGCTCTGAGGTCATATTTTATTATATATTCCCAAACGTCAACATATAGGCCCATGAACTGTGTACATGTACAGGCTTTGTGAAGTAGGGATAGGCGAGTGGGTGGTTGGCGGATGCTCTGGTGTGGTTTGTTCATTCTTTCCTACCCACCAAACATCTATTGTCCTTATCTCTCCTTCTTCTTTTTGGGGTATGTCACTGTCTTGCAACACATCTATTCTTCGGCACTTATATTATGACCTTATTGTCTTGCAAGTGCCGTAAAACTCTTCTTAAAACTAAAGATAGGCGAGCGAATGTACGTCTGTCTGTCGCTCGACCTTTGCTTGGCTATGGCGTGTACAGTTCTCCCTGCTAGGGCCTGTTATCTGTGGGAAGATAGTTCCACATGAACCCTTGATGTCACCTCGTGTGTTTTACCACATCACAGGCCTTAGTTTTTCTGTCTCATTGTCTATTTAAGGGTGCGGTGGCGGAGTGGTTAGTGCGCTCGTCTCCGAAGTGGAAAGTCCGGGTTCGAGCCTCGGTTCAGACACGGATTTTTTTCGCCCCCTCCAGCCCACCCAGCAGAAATGGGTACCTGACTTCGAGTTGGGGAAGTAAAGGCGGCGTGGAAAGGAACTGGCCACCCAACCACAATATGCCGAAGGCCCAGGAAGTTGTCTCACTAACAAGGCAATCCCCAATGTCCGGATCGGATGCGGGAACAACTTTTTAAAAACTCTATCTACTGCTGCGTCTTTTCCTTGTGACTGTTCACTCCGTATTACTTGGGCATTCATGCGTGTACATGTCAGTTTGTCGATGTTTAAGCGCTTCATCAGCTGCTTGCACTGTATGCTTCCCGGGAAGCTGAGAATGTTTCTGAGTGTTCTGTGGTCTACTTACTGGGGTAATAAAATCTAGTGTAAAGCGCACAGAGCTTGCTGTTGAGCGGGGTATGCTCTATACTGTGCAAGCTATTTATTATTATTATTATTATTATTATTATTATTATTATTATTATTATTATTATTATTATTATTATTATTATTATTATTATTATTATTTTTACTTACTTACCAGAATCAACAGGGATCAACGATCACGGAGTCGGTGAGGAAGAGAACACTACTGTGATGTTTTCTGCAATGTCCCGTTATCGGAATGAGCCGGACCAAACAGTCCGTGACGTTATATAGGCCCGTGTTTTGCCGTGACGTTATATAGGCCCGTGTTTTGCCGTGACGTTATATAGGCCCGTGCTTTGCCGTCTACGGCTTGTTAACCCCCTTGCCCCCGTAGCCAGGACAGTTCAAACCCCTCGGGGGCGGTTGCATCATGCCAAGTTTTGAAGGAGTTAACTAAACAGCGGAGTGGGGTGATGAATCCACGTATAGTCACCAACAACTGCCGTCAGTACCCACTTATAGACACCGAGCGAGGTCCCTACACATGGAAGTGGGCCAAGGGGGTGCGCTGGAAGGTCAGAATCGGGGACCCTCATCCTACTTAGGTCTTCATCCCGAATGTATGCCTTCTTGTTTCTCTTTTATGTCGGTGGTTACCGCACGAGACAGCCGTTAAGGCAGCTTCGACTGTACTACGTCTCTCAATAGGCCTTATAATACATCACGGAATTTGAGGAAACAAACCTTCATCCACGTTTGGAAGTGTGGAAACCACGATTCGTCACTGCTGTCGGTGAGCTGGCCATCGTGTACAACCCAGCAACCAGAGATCGTACAAAAATGATGGCTCTGACTCCCTGTCACTCCACCCGGTGATACACAGGTAGCCTTGTGGATCCTCTTGTGGGGGAAAACAGAGCCTCCAGTGACAAAACTGTTGAAAGCACAGATATGAGCAAATCGTTCACCGTTCTCTTTCATTTGTCCCAAACCGTGTTGTCCCATAATTCCCTCATAACCTATGTTGTCCTGACCAATCTTGGCATTGGGATCTCCCAGTATGATGTCGACATTATCCTTCCTTGGTAGTTTGTCGATGACTCCCTGGAGCAGGCTGTAAAAGTCGTCCTTGTCTTCATCCGAAGCATCATTTGTTATTTGTTGGGGGTAGATCTGGACTATATTCATGAATTGGTGCTCTTGATCCTTGTAGTGAATGAAGCCATGATGGGGCGGGGGGGGGGGGGGGGGGAGGGGGGTAGACTGCGACAAGTAGGTTGCTCTGGGCCTACCTCTGCCTCGTTTGTTTTCAAAATTTCCAGTGCAAGCTGGATGTTCAAGACCTTTATTTCTATCTAGGTGTCCCAAAAACTGATTGTTTTTAACAGTGAGCGTATCTAGGTGTCCCAAAAACTGATTGTTTTTAACAGTGAGCGTCCCGTGTGGGTCAAGAAACATGAACCGTTCTTGTGGAGACTGTTTGGCCAGTTTTTACAGACACCGCCAAAGTCCACTCTGGACAGTTAGGCCTTCATTCCTTCATAGAAAGATATCCAAATCTACATGTTCTTGTAACTGCTTCGAAATAATCATTGAAAAAAAAAAATATTTACACTGATTTTTGAACATTTTAACATTTTAAGATCTAACTACTGACCCGAACCAGCCGTACAGTACTGTTGCGAACACAACTAACTTGTGTTTCGCGCGCTCATACGACCTTATGCAGTTGCGAGCGCCCTAAAACCCTATACAATTTTTTTTTTTAAAATCCTTGTATGAATTGTAAGCGTTACAATACTTGGACAATTGTCTCATCCTTCCATTTTAGAAACCGCTTCTCTAATTAGAACGCTTATGTAGGCTCTACAGTCCCAAAAACTCACCTAGTTTGCCGCATAACTTGTTTGTTTCTCTTGGAGGGGGGGGGGGCATATCCAGGAAGTAAACACGTGAAGTAGTACTTATTGCTGCGTGGAACGTGTTACAAGTAGAGTCACTTCTTTTCGAGTGTGTCTTCTCCTACATAACATTCCGCCACACGCTCACAAACTTGCAAGCATCTACTATGGCCTTATTTTAAGTGAGGCCGATGTCAGATAACACGGGACACATTATGCCACAGGCAAAAATACTGCACTATGTAGGGCAAAGCACTTGTATGTCACGTGAAAAAAAATGTAGGGAATAAAATAGTCCTTCAAATTCGTGACTCAAACAAATGGGCCAAACTAAAGCTACAGAGCACTCGGTGAAGACATAAAGAGCTAAGAGTTAAATATAACTATAAGTAGACTACACATTCGGAAAACAAGCCTTTTGCAATAGCCTGTTAGATTGTTGGTGGTGTCTTGAGTGTATCAAGGTACATAGAGGGCACGTATTCTAACAAAATAAGAGCAAACATGTTGTTATTTTTCAAATTACAGAGTAATTGGTTGTTGTTGTTGTTGTTGTTTGTTTTTTTAAAGAAGAAAACGAGAATGTTGTTATAAAACAAACCCGGTCCTGGAAATCGAATCTTACAGGTTCACAAGAGAGTCAACCCTTTGCTTTAACTCCACCTCGTTTGTTGCAACTCGGCGATAATAGGGAAGTTATACAATCCAAATTGTATTCTTAACTAAAATCTATGGTACGAAAAAAAATATTTTAAAATTGTAAATTGGCTGTCGCCACTGTTGGATGTTATAGAGGGTGCCTACTACGGCTGGATCGGGCCGATCGCCCGACTCGATCGCCTGAAACTGAAAACAAACACGTTTGTTTTTTAGGCGATCGACGATCGAGTCGGGCGATCGGCCCGATCGGCCGATCACAGCCGTAGTGGGCACCCCGTGTTAAACATGAACTTTTAACGTCAAGCTATAAAGTAAAACCAAGTCGGATTTGAACTAACGTAAAAAAGACAACTACAACCGACTTCTGCCCCACACGATACAATGTATTATGTGACCTATGTGACCTTATGTAGTTGCGAGCGCCGTAAAACTCTTACCAAACTTAATTCATAATGGAATATGGATGGTCATAAACGGAACAGAATCCTATGGCTCATTTATTTGTGACGTCAGCATAGCCCAGAAATCACAAAGTACCTCGAGTGTTCGCGGTTTATTGTACCATAACAACAAAGACTAGACATAACAAAATACCAATACAGCAGTATTTGCGGTTTGTACCATAACAACAAAGACTTCACCTTCACCTATCCCGTAGACTGGGTGTCCGTCGGGGCTTTTGAAGGTTTGGCCACCAGCTTCCTCCACTCCTTCCGGTCTTCAGCTTTCCTGGGCGTGTCTTTGAGTTCCAGGCCTGTCCATTCCTTGATGTTGTCCTCCCAACTCTTCTTCGGTCTGTCTCTGCTTCTTTCTCGCTGGGCGCTGCTTTGTAGGATCATCTTGGCAGGCCGGATGAACGAACAAAGACTACAAGTCACAAAATACCAATAGAGTATAATTTGTGGTCCTCACATAACGACATAGCCTAGAAGTCACAAATACCTATAGAGTATTTGTGGGTGAATAGAGAGTAGCGTTTTATATCTATGGTGTCACATAACGACATAGCCTAGAAATCACAAACTACCTTGAGTATCTGTGGTTTCCATAATGCAGTCAGATCTTGCCACGAGTCAAAACACAGAGATACATGTACCAATTAGCCTAGCGCGCCCTTCAGCGTTTGGCACATGACATTTGTTGGCATGCATGGACATTTTTCGCCATCGAGTCTTTTTTTTTTTTTAGGTAAGTGTTTTAAGGCGCTCGCAACTGTGCAAGGTCATATGAGCGCGTGGGACACATTGAACATTTTTAATTGGAAGGAAATTTTGAATTTTTACCCGGGCGGCGGTTGAAGCCTGCTCTTATAGATTTTAGATCTCTAAAGGATCTTTAACGTGCACAACTTGCACACGGGACCTCGGAGATTTTTCACCGTTGTCCAAGAAGGCTATGTGTAGATCTTTCCTACCATAATAAAGATCAGGGGTGTGTCTGAAAGACAGCAGTAAGAAGGAGCTATAAGGAGTAGCAGTAGAAAGGCTGCAGAAAGAGCCAGAATCCCAGAGGAGGGGCAAAGGAGGTGAGGGCGTGGGGGAAGAAAGTGGAGACGAAAGCAGACGACAGAACATTGCTAGAGAGCAGGAAAGGATCGGTGAAAGGAGACAATTATAGACAAGAAACTGTTTCCGTTGCTACCCGGATTCGAACCTCGGACCTTTGAATGAGAGGCGAACACAATCATCTCTAGACCACGAGAGCCCCCACGAGAATCGTCGAGTCTGATATCTCCAAATGTCAAAGAAAACTTCTCACTCTTGACTTATATTTCCTTTACTTCAACGCCCTCCCCGCAGTTGCTCTGTAACTTCCAATGGGCGTTCTTGTTTCGTTGGAAACAATTTTATTTTAAGTAATTGTTTACATTGGAAGATATCTGCTGTTCGATTTCTGGTCAATTTAGTTTATCTCATGAAACATTTCCTGTCATGTTTTTTGTCGTTGTTGTTGTTTGTTTGTTGTTGTGTGGTTTTTTTGGTGGGTTTTTTTTTTGGGGGGGGTTGTTTGTTTGTTGGTTTTTGTTGTTGGTTAGTTTGTTGGTTTGTTGGTTTGTTAGTTTGTTGGTTTGTTTGTTGGTTAGTTTGTTGGTTAGTTTGTTGGTTTGTTGGTTTGTTAGTTTGTTGGTTTGTTTGTAACCTGCAATTTTCAAATAATTTCTTTTGGTGACTTTTATTTTTATAATTGTTTTTCAGCTAAATCTGCAAAGAAAACTGTTTTATAATTTTTCCCCCCCCCCCCCCAAAACCACTTAACCCCCCCTCCCCCCCTCTCCCCCAACAACAAACAAAAACAAACAGCCGACAAAAATTGCCTAACGGGCGAAAAGCTGTCGGTTTGTTCAATTCGATTTTGACGAGGGCCTGATTTCACAGCGTACACGTTTGACATAACATTTTGATTAAAATTCAAATGTTCCCAAAATTAAAACGATAGGCTGGACTGAACTTTGATGGACCCACTATAGATATATGTATTAGATCTAGATATTATCTAGATTCTAGATCTAATGCGCCATAACAACATATTAGGGTGTTTCTTGCCCGCCCCCCCCCCCCCCCCCCCCCGTTAGTGGGGGGTTTCAAGGGGCTTGCTTCCCTGGAAACAATAATGTTTTAAAAAAACCAAACACATACATGTACAATCAAAACAAAAATACTAAAACAACAACTAGCTAGGCTCAAAAGTAGTTCAAACCCGGTTTCGTTCAGTGTTTAGTCCACCAAAGTTCAATCTTACCAAAAAATATCCTTAGAAAGAATATATTATTGTGAAGGGTTTTTGTATGATGAGCTGTCATTCATTCCGCACCACACTAGGGGATACATTTTATATGGTTCGAGAAATAATTGGTCACCGTATACCGGAAGTGTACTCTTATTCTCCTTTGGCGTCTGTGGCGACGGAAGTGAAAGAAGACAGAATGTGAGAATTCCATTTGAACGAAGATATAAGTTGTTGTTATTTATTGGCTTCGTGTTACAAGTGATAATTTTTTAAATACTACCTGCCACCAACGATGTTAGACGCATTAATGACGTGTTTAAGCGGTGGATTGTAATTTGAGCAGTCTGTGTAATCCCAGACCAACAAGGTAATTTAGATTTAGATTCTTGTCTAGAATCTAGATCTAGATCTAGATCTAGATCTAGATCTAGACTAGATCTATAGATCTAGATCTAGATCTAGATATCTAGATCTAATATCTAGATCTAGATCTAGATCTAGATCTAGATATCTTATAAACTAAGATCTTTCCTATCTTAGTCTTAGTATTTTTTGTCATAATTAGTAGATCTATTAGTAGTAGCGACTGTAGCCTTAGTCTAGTAGCCTGTGAGTCTAGATCTTTATTAGTACTAGAATCTAGATCTAGATCTAGGAATATAAGTACAATACCGTACTAAAATACTACTAGAATCTAGATCTAGATCTAATACTATAATTATAATAGGAGGAGACAAAAGAACTCAGCAGGGTGCTATGTGTGGGACATTGAGAGGCAGTTATTTATAGTTATTGATATTATCTTAAAACTTGTTTATTTGACTTGCTTTTACCGAAAAAAACCCCCCATTTACCTTGAGTAGAAGTTAAGATACTTACGGTTGAAAGTGGTGGGATGGCCTGGTGTTAGAGTTAGAGATCAAATTAGCGAGAATGGTCACCAAAGGGTACGTGGTGACTTCCTAAGCTTGAGTGCCCGTGGAAACTGTCAATTTATATTTTTGTGCCTTTGATCAATGTTTTTCTGTAAAATCCACATAGAAGTGTTCGCAAATGGACATATAGGAGGTTTTGTTTCCACTTTCTGCCCCCACCCCCTCACCTTCTTTGCCCCCTCCTCTGGGCTCCCGACTCTTTCTGCAGCCTTTCTACTGCTACTCCTTGGCTCCTTAATTTCTTACTGTTGTCTTTCAGCCACACCCCTGATCTTCTGGTAGGAAAGATCTACACCTAGCCTTCTCAGACAAGGACGAAAAACTCAGAGGGTCTGTGTGCAAGATTCATTGATGGTCCCATATCAATAAGAGTAAGCTTCGGCCGTCACCCGGGCATAATTCAAAATTTCCTACTGACGGAAAATGTTTAATGTGTTCCGTGCTCTCATATGACCTTCTGCAGTTGCATGTGCCGTAAAACACTTGAAAAACCCCCCCCAAAAAACAGCGATATCTCACATTTCTGTGACGTCACAAGCTGTACTGATCTGTCGATTGCTTTGCCAAGTACTTTAAGAGAGATCAAATCTTTTGATTCATGATTCAAATGTCAGCTGAAGTCATTTCTGTTTTTAAATCAGTAAGATGAATATTTGGAGTGATTTTCTTTTAGTCAGAACACGTTTTATGTTACTGTTGTACGTTGTACTGTATTGTAAAGCGCTCAGAGCCTGTGTACTTATATATAGCTAAACCCTGATTAAAGTACACATGCCCTGAGCGCTATACAATACAATACTATAACAGTAACATAAAATGTTGTGTTCTGACTAGAAAAAGAAAATCCCTCCAAATTTTATTATTACTACCGGAACTGTTTCCCCGACAGTTGACGGCGCTTGCGGCACCATGGCCTATCTCCTGGGTCGCCAGGATGTCATGGAAAGTCTGCAGTCTGACGTCCAGGATCTCCAGTGGACCATCACGCAGATCTCCTCGCGGGTGGGGCCTGTTGCCGCTCAGTCGTGGAAATTTCCGGACAAAATGGCCGGTGACCTTGACATTGAGGATTTGCTGGACCTGTACGATTGCTCCGGGGAGTCGGAGGAGGCCGAAGACAGACAGGTGGCTCATATAGCTCTCTACGAGCTTCTCATAGACAGGTGAGGTGTCATGTGGCTCTGTATGACAGGTGAGGTGTCATGTAGCTCTGTATGACAGGTGAGGTGTCATGTAGCTCTGTATGACAGATGAGGTGTCATGTAGCCCTGTATGAGCTGTTCATTGACAGGTGAGGTGTCGTGTAGCTCTGTATGACAGGTGAGGTGTCGTGTAGCTCTGTATGACAGGTGAGGTGTCTCTGTATGACAGGTGAGGTGTCATGTAGCTCTGTATGACAGGTGAGGTGTCATGTAGCTCTGTATGAGCTGTTCATTGACATGTGAGGTGTCGTGTAGCTCTGTATGACAGGTGAGGTGTCATGTAGCTCTGTATGACAGGTGAGGTGTCATGTAGCTCTGTATGGCAGGTGAGGTGTCATGTGGCTCTGTATGACAGGTGAGGTGTCATGTAGCTCTGTATGACAGGTGAGGTGTCATGTAGCTCTGTATGACAGGTGAGGTGGTCAGACAGTGGGATGTTGAGAGCAATTTGTCGTATGGCCTGATTCTTAGGTTTAAACGTTTAATTATATATATATATATATATATATATATATATATATATATATATATAAACACACATACGCAAGTACACATACACGCACACTCTTATTCTTATAGTATTTTTATCTTATCTCATCTTATCTTATTCGTATAGTATTCTTAACTTATCTTAACTTATCTTACCTTATCTTATCTTATCTCATCTCCTCTCATCTCATCTCATCTTATCTAATCTCATCTCATCTTATCTCATCTCATCTCATCTCATCTCATCTCATCTCATCTCCGACTCCCAACAGGTTGCTGTTTTGCATCCAGGCCCTGTCCAAGTTCTCCGTTTCTCACCTGGGCAGCCACGTGTCGAACGGTCAAGCAGACACCGCTGGTGTGGAGAGTATGGCCGGGTCAGTCGGGCTAGTGGTCAAGGAACACTGGACACACATGAGCAGTCTGCAAACGCTCTACCATCAGCTGCAGTCAGAGGTCAGTCCGGTGCTCGTATGTGAGGCGTCGTGGTGAAATCAGGCACTCGGTCAAAATTATGACGTCGAAGAAACAGGCATTTTTCCTCCAGTTTGGACATTTTAGCAAATTTTTGTTTTTTGGCTCAACACCTTTTATGTCCATATAAAAACACATTTTTGTGTCAATATTGCTGAAAAACGTTGATTAATGGCACATAATATATATATATATATATAGATTTTCAGTTTTCAAAGACCTCATGCTATAGAAGTTACATAGCTTTTATTACCATTTTTACGATAATTTTACCCCTCAAACCATGCTACCCCCACCTCCTTCAATCGCAAATATTTCGACTTCTATTCAAGATAGATTCATGTTTTTTCATAGAAAGCAAGGCAAAAGAACAGGCTTTGAGATGATACCAATAACTCCACATGCCCAAAAATTGACAAGCGCCTGATTCCACCACGTCATGTCACATATGACCTTCTGCTGTAGCGAGCGCCGTCAAACTTTACTAAGAATAAAACTAAAACTGCGAGGTCAGTCTGACTCTTGTGCAGCAAATCACGACCTCAATGCTTTTTTTGTCCTATCTCTATATTTAATAACAGTGAAAACAGTCCTTAACAAAGAGTGAGCCTAAGAAGACGTCACATTTTCACTGTTAAGAAGAAATGGAGAAAGGGCAAGAAAGCACTGAGGTCGCGAAAGGTTTAACCCTATCTGTACGTCATGTTTTACTATCGTATCCATACGACGAGGGGAACTCTGTGCCACCACTTAACCTTATCCGTACGTCGTGTTTTGCTATCGTATCCATACGACGTGGGGAACTCTGTGCCTCTACTTTCCAAAGAGGAAATTTACTCGTTAACTCATTCGCTACGTATTATTTTCGGCTTGTGGACGAATTTTTTTCGGGAGGGCGAAATCAGATGATGACTAGTGCGTAGTTCACAGGTCTTGGGGGCCATAAATTCAAATAAATATCAACATATTATATACCAACATTTTCAGTATGGTTTCTAGAATACATCTGTATTGTTTATTTGAGTATTTTTCAACTTTGGTTCCTGTAAGAGGCGATTATGCAACACAATTGTGATTGGTTGCGGATAAAATTTGAAAACAAAAAATTT